GACCAAGCAAAATGGAATACAAATTTGTTTATGTAAACATCCAATATACCGAATAAAGCTCACGTGACACGGGCATACCTATTACCTCGCTCCCGGTCGTCTTGCCCCTTGGAGTCCGGCATGCGCCCAAGCAAAAGGACATAATGTGGCCCCCACAGAAGATTAATGGTAACTTTCCCCCACTGTCCCACACAAAAGTGGCGGTGCATTTCAATCAGACATCGCTGTGGATAACTAAACTTACAAAGGCCCTTGACCCTTTGTCGAAATGCTGGCTGCAAGGAAAGCCGTATCTATTTGGCTTTTTCTTGCCTTTGAACGGGTTTTGACTGTACAGACACCTCTGTTGAGCCATACGCCTCCATCCTTTTACCCGGTCGAAAATGATCTTGGACAATGGGATCTTGATAAAGCGCCTGCAGTGAACGCGACAGGACATCTGGTGTTCGACACGGCAAATTCTCTGCTTCAACACTGGGCAAACACACGTTATCGTATTGGTATTTGAAACTACCGAATACCACGCAAATGTCACGACTCATCATTTACTTCTGCAGGTCATACAATAGTCCCAGGGACTGTTCCCGTGGGCACTCTCCTCTATCATGGAGCCAGCGGTCCCCATATGCCGACCGCTTTAGATTGGGTAGCTGTAGAACCAGACCACTCCCTAGTGTTCTGCAAAGGGCCAATTGAAACAGGGTGCTGGCACCTCACCCTTGCAGTCACTCGACCGATGAAAGTGCTCTATTTTGACGGAAGCAGCGCTGCGAAACTCCTTGAGGGCACCATGGACACTCAAGATCTCGTGGCATGGTCGAAAATGAAACCCGAGTGGGTGTGGAATGAAGAGCAGCGCATTAAATATCTATGTAAATGGGGTCAAAAGTATGGCCTGAATGGCTTTGTGAGGTTCGTTGGATTTTGAGATGTGTCAATGCCCTACGCTGATTTGCGAGTTATAGGATGGAAGTGAATTTGTGCGGACCCATACACAGTTCCTTGAGGATATGTTTTTAACGATGGTCATAGTGAGATCATGATCTGTGACTTTACCTCTCACATGGAGGTCGTTTCGTTCCTGAATATGGAGAGCACTCGCTACCGCAAGCGCTCGCCTACGGCTATGCCAGAGGACCCCACTACCAGTGAGCGACCATGTCCATGTCCTGACGTAGGTCTGATTTGTTCTCGGACATTAGTGCATCATGTTTTTGCTATAATGCATTCTGCTTCATGGCGCGCAAATTATCCAGGAGAGACCCGAATTATCCTTGATTTTTCTGGGCTCGTCTCTTTCTACGACACCGCTCTTGTTCCCTCTTTAGTGCCGCGCCGTGTAGGCTTGGAGCGGTGGGATCATCGAGTGGAAGGAATATCATCGGAGGATATAAAACGTGTTCAAGACAGGCTAGATCAAGTGTTAACACGATCACCCGTGACAACCAGCGGCATTGACTGGAAAACGGTCTTGCGGGTGGTGGTTGATCGATATGCCAGCCGCCTGGACTTTATGCAGTACCTGTTGAACATGACGCTAGACGATAGGTCGATCTTTGACCATGCACAACAAATTCAGAGACGACTGCGCACCGTGCTTTTGCCCTACACTTTGTTTTCAGCTCTACCTCCCAATACCTCCGTCACTGCCAACACGACAAATTTGTGGGCTGCGCCAGTTTTTCGGGAGTGTGCTACATCGCACACGGCCTCCATAGTTGCTCGGGGAACGACATTGATGCTCTCTGAACGTTTGCTTCTGCAGGCGGTGCAGGAAACTACGCATGAAATCTGCCGCGTCGCCACGAAGATGTGGGCTTCTGGAATGATTATTGGGGTCGACCCCTTTTATCCTCCGGAACAACGCCCTGAAGCCGATCACATACATGCCCTCATGGGTGAATGGAAGGAGGATTTGACACAGTTGATCTCCTGGTTGGACTGGAGCGTGTGGGTGACGTGCCGACCGGCCTGTGATTTTGAGGTAATCAAGTCAAATTGTTTAGGAAATGACTGACCTCGTCGTGTAGGAGATGTGCTACTTGCCTACTTGGCCCTTTGGGTTTTTGCCGACTCCTGGAGAACCACCAGTCCCGTGGAACAGTGCTTCCTTATGGCCAGACCCAAACAAAGGGGAATGGAAGAGACCACAACCAAAGTGCATCAGACGGCGGGAGCCATATAATTTTTGAGATATACAATTCACATGCATTATTACTGACATATACACGTCTTTTGTCATAGTCCTTGTAAAATCATTGCAGTAGAGTTTAAGAGCGCCACGCGCGACACATGTATTCTAACGAAGGATATGGTATTATCTAGCGTTGCCATCCCCTCAGCCAAATACGTGACTCCTTGCGACTGGTGTTAGTTATTGATACGCACTGGAAGCTTGCATATTTGAAGTAAACACGGACGAATTCAGAGTAGTGGATCGATTACATGGCTCGGGAACTACGATTCCTGGTTGCGAACTTGACATTTTTACCTTGGCTCAGCTGTCAGGTCACCCGCGCACGTCGTCCCCCGACCTGCACCCTCGTGGTGTCATGCTCCTCGCATCGGCCGGTAAATTCTGAGAAAATTTACAGTATCAAGTAAACATAATCCTATTGTGCGAACAGCTCATATATCTGGAGCCTCAGATTCTACAATCATACCTACAATTTACCTACTTTGATGTACACCAAATGGATCTGAGCTCACCCCTTACGTCGTCGAAGCGGGCCAATTATCGAAACCAATGTCAATACCTAAATAGTATATGTCAGTGTAATCACCTTCGCAGCTATTACCAGCGCTCACCCCAGTGAGGCATGATAAAACGGTTCTGCTTGCCACCTGCAGCAACACCGTCAAGAATTTTGATATCCTCTGGCGTCAACAAATTGTATGCCTCTAGTGCGCCAGTCAAGTTAGATTCGATACGGGATGGCGACATTGATTTGGGAATGATAACTATGTCCTTTTTCACTGCATTCAAATCCGTCAGCTACCACTCTCTTGCGCGGGGAGAATGACAGGCATGAACGCACGCAGGTAGCCGAGAAGGACATCGGACGTGCTCTTGAGGTTACGCTTCTTTGCGATCTCTGTGGCAGACTCATCGGTCAACAGCGGAGCGCCGGTCGAACCAAGGGGAGAGTATGCTTGTGGAACAATTTTCTTCGACTTCAAGTAGTCCAACAGCTTCAGCTGCGGATTGTACAGGTGAAGCTCAAGCTATAAATTTCAATGGTTAGTTTGGAACGGGCGTCGTTGCGTCGAACATGCCTGATTAACAGCCGGTATGATTTCAGCTGTCGGCAAAATCTTCTCGAACATCATCTCGGAGAAGTTTGAAGTGCCGATTGCCTTAACTTTACCTTTCTTCACCATGGCCTCCATAGCCTTCCATGTGTCCCTGATGTCCCGTGATTCATCGAGGTCAATGTTTCCGTTGGGGAGTATCGGTACGAGTGGGTCACTCCCGTTCGGGTTCAGCGGAACAGGCCAGTGGATAAGGTAAACTAATAAATGAGACGGTTCGTGTCAGTCAAAAAAGTCGGGCTTGTACTTGGATAAATGCAGATCCTACGGTCAAGATACGTTGTTCCCAACTTTGCGAGTGTCAAGTCGAGGCATTCCTCAACACGCCTATGGTATGTGCCCCAAAGCTTGCTGGTGATCTGTGAATACCCAGATGAACAGGGTAACGAATCCATGAAATATGTTATACGCACGAACACTTCCTCTCGCGGGATGCCCGATGCACGCACACCGTCACCGATTTCCTTCTCATTCCCATAAAACCTTCCATGCAATGTGGTCATCAGATTTATTTTGCAATCAAAAAAATGGTTCCTACAAAGCGCAATCAATGTGTCTATAGCCCACCTTGAGCCCATGTTCCACAGCGCAAGTGATTTCACTGGTATTGGGTTCTGATTGCCATGTTCCTGGGCCGTTATTCAGTCCGACATCTCATCTTCAACCATGTTAAAGAGCTCACCGAGTCCGATAGCAGGGACAGTTTGCCCATTGTGAAGGGCGATGAGATGAGACAACATGGGTAACTAGAGACCTTAAGCTGACAACGGTACAAAATGGGATAGAAATGAGACGTGTTAGTAGGTGACACGAAGAGGAATAGGACTAGGACTAGAGATGAGGACTTTTGGAGGAGCTTTCGATCGTTCTTGGAGCGGGGATCTCACTGTAAGATTTGCTGTAGATATGAGTGTACATGATATATATACGTTTTCGAATACTTGACTAGGCCGGAACGAGCGTGGTGAGCATATGGTAAGGTGAAAACACTTCGGCGAGGCAAGCGTATCGTGAAGGTGTTGGATTAGAGAGCAATTAGAGAGCACCGACAACTCGGAGATCGGAGACTGACAAAGCGCGCTGCGCGCTTTGTAATATTTGATATTCAACATTCGCTGTCATGTCACGTGACGCACAAACCAGACAACGAATCGTGGGATAGACTCGTCTCTTGAAGATGCCCTGTATTGCACAAAATGGGTTTGTCCGTGCTGGTGGGCTCCTGGTTGTGTGGCATACAACATTACCTCCAAATTCAACTTCACGAAGGATCACACTCGCCCAAACTCCCATTCTTCTAGTACCTGGTCGACTAAACCATCGACTAGTGCTGCCCTTCCTCCGCTCATAGATGCAAAATCTCTGTCCTGGAGATGCCGATTCTCCGAGGTGACATGCCACCTCTGCATGATATTTTATCAAACTCGAATTCTGGGGGCGTGAGTGTGCCGGGCGTACCGAATTCTCGAGATGCGACTTCTCTGGGAGGAGGATTTTTGATCGGTCTCGCAGCTCAAGAGGAAACCATTGTTTGGTCCATCTACACTCTACCCTTTTTCATGACAGACACTGCTCAGTATTTCTAGAACCTCCATTGCCGCGACAAGAAAGGCGGCTTCCATATGCATTCATCTACACCCCTTCGGCTGTGGTGATGCGAAATGATGCAAAGGATTGGGTATCGCCGTATGACTCACGAGTGCAGCAGTGAATGTTGCCTCCACAGACAAATTATCCTTTTCCTATTCGAGCAGCAGGGGAGTAAAAATATCGTCTTGGGAAGCCTTGGGATGGGAGTATTCAGAGATAATGTCGAAGGTGGTAGCAGGGGCTATGGAGAGAACATTCGTTTGGAGATGCTGCTCGATTTTGAACGCGTCCTTTCATCAAATTTTATTCAGTATCGTTGGAGAGAAATACTGTGCGTAGTGTCTACCATAGGGCCCCGCCCCACAGGACAATAAACAAGGATAAAATAAAAATAAAATGAAAACGTTCGAGAGGAAACCTTCATGGCGTTCAAGGGTGTGCTTGATTAAAGTATCTCAGTAGTAGTTCAACGAGTGTTCAGTTCGATGACTGTAGTATATTTGCACATTTATTTGTGAAAGAACGCTGAGGTGTACTAGGTGTACGCTAACAGTGGCAGCAGAATGGTCGATTTATGCACAAGTTTGAGCAATGAAGTATGAACTCGCACACATTTAGGCCCACATAGCCTTGAACTTTTCATGGAACTCCTCGAGCGCACCGTTGACCACTTCGAAAACTCTCCAGTCCGCACCCGACACTCCTGGCGGTCGCTGCGTTGATTCCCACCCTCCCTGCCCCTGCTTCCCAGACGCCTCCTCTTCTTCATCCTCCCACTGGACTGGTTCAAGGGATGCATATCCACTGTCCGCCTCCTCATCAAGGTCTGCATTCCCTGGTGTCGCATCTTTTCCGCCAACGGACCCCTTTTGAAGGAGTTGCTCAAGTACCCCACGCACAGTCATTAGCGTGAGATCAAATTCCTCCAATACATACCAAACGTCACCCCGCCTGATTGCGTTCGCAGCGGCAAGAGCCGCCACCTGTCCGTGCATGTAGAAGTCAAGGAGGTATGCGTTCAGCGTGTGCTGTCTATCATCTTGGTTGGTTCTCCCGGTGATACCTTCGAACGATGGGATGGTGTGTTCGTTCAGATTGAGTCCACGTCGAGCCGTTTGAGCGAGGTCGCGAACACTGCTGAAGTGATCATCGTGACCCGAGTTAGCCACAAAGAGCGACCGTGCGACAACGCGGATCGCGGTATGATGAAGATGGTGGCAAATGAGCGATGGTTCATCTTCCGCAATACCCGATATATCCCTTTTGCTAAGAGGTAGAATATGATCGGGCTCAAGGTCCTTTTGGTGCTGAGTTCCGTAGGTAAGGGCATATCCGGTGAAAATCTGGAGGATTTCGCGCTCTTGGTCTATGAGCACGTCACGAGCTATCTTAGACAGTGGTGGCAGTACGACCATTGATGGCGACTTCTTCACCACCTTCGTGATGTACTCCTCTTTCATGCAAGCAGGAGGCAGGTACCGCCGTCCAAAGAGGTGAGCCATCAACAGGATGAAGTCGCGCTTCGCAAGCTTCAGGTCAGACTGCGCACAAATCTTATGGATCACGCCGCTGCGAAGCAAAGCAACTAGGGCGAAGTTGCTAGGCTCCGTGTAATACAGGCGTGCGGCTATTCCAAAAAGATTGAGCGGCTTCCCTTGCTCGTCGAGTAGACGAGCACGACGCAAGTAGTCGATCGAGAAACGTAGATGGTGCAAAAGCTGGTATCTTCCTTCTTCAGAGTCAAAACTGATTTGTGGGAGGCGGAAAAGCCGCTGCACAGCAGCGACAGCAATTGTGGAGTAATTGGAACCCTCCAACAGATTGAACAGGCGCACGACGAGAGTTGATGTTACAGGGAAACTGGCAGAGAGGGACGGCAGTTTTGAAAGCACTAGTCTCTGTACCTTGCTCATTGGAAGAGCATAGAAAACGACTTTACCGAGGGTGTCATATCCTCGCCGTCCAGCGCGTCCCGCACATTGTCGATACTAAGGTCATCAATTAATGACGAATATGTGAGATGATGGGAAACGAACCATGAGTGCAGTGAGGAAGGGTGAGTCGCCACAGAAAATCGAAGTTTTGGTCGGAGCGTTGATACCTAAGGCAAGAGTACCTGTAAATGGAGCCTGAGGTTAGCAGCCCTACGGAAATAATGGAACGCTTACTCGTTGCGAAAATCACGCGCACGAAGCCACGGCGAAAGAGACTTGATCTGCCGTCAGACAGCGGTGCTACGTTGGAAAAGAAAACTTACCTCTCAACGATAGCACGATACCCTTTGTTCATACCAGCATGGTGAACAGCGATCCCACGTCTCAAGCATTTCAATGCCCATTCAGGTATAGGGGGAGTCCGCCACCCAAGATGAGTGATATCTTCGTCAAGTTCCGATGCAGTGTACGAAGTATTTTGACCAGCGAACGAGAAGTCTGGCAGGGGATCATCAGGTCTGAAGGATGCTTGCCATTCACTCGTGTCAGCACGCTTATCCTCTTCATCGGCCTTATGTTTCGATGCTCGTGCAGCTTGGCGTTCCCGCTCTTTTGCGTTCTGAAGGTATGCTTCATATTGTGCCATTTTGCGTTTCCATTCCGGACTAGTTTTGCGCCATTTGTCTTCCTTGATCTCAAGCACCCTGTTCAAAATTTTGGCCATATATTCGCAATCGGTTCGATCGAATGAGAAGAATATACCGGGCTAAATAAATAAGGATCTCATGAACATAGAGAAAGACAGTGCGTCGGGTACTCACGAGGTCCCCCTGTGCGTGAAGATCGGCGACTAGATGAATGATATTGTCACTAGATACAACACGACTAGGTGCAGAGTTCAACACTCTGTCTGGGATACGAGATAAATCATCATCTTGGAGCTGGATAATGACGCGCGACAACGGCGTCCCGGAGTCTTGCGAATCGAAGGAGGACAACAACGGGACGAGGTGCTGTTTTAGAGCCTCTTCGTATTGGATTACGTCCTTCTGCTGAAGCAGTTTGCTAGACGAAAAAAATACCGCAGGATCGAGGGCAGCGAGAATGGAGGGCTGGAGGGCTTTGCACATACTTAGAGCATGATATAAATGCAATGTATCCACTGCTTCCAATGCAAGATCGGAGGGGAGAGAACGTGCACTGGACGAAAGAATGGACAGCGGATGCAGAAATCGCATCCTTTCTGTAGTCTTGTACGTTGAAAGGCCTTGGAAGGCATCTCTCGGCTTCTCATGGATGTTGTAGTAGAACTTTCTCAAGTGCGAGTATCGATAGGGATAATGCACGAACTTGTGCTGGAACCCACCCGCTTTCTGAACGCTCTCGAGCCATTCGTTGAACTTTTCTGGTGCTCCAACTGTGGCAGACAGACCTCTATTCATGCAGGAATTAGTACATCAACAGTTGAATGCAAAAGTGACGTACATGATAGGACAAGGGCACAGAAGCAGAATCTGTTCCCAAACAGCTCCGCCCTCCTGCTGGCCGATTGTGTGAATCTCGTCAAGGACGACACTGCGGTAGGATGTGAGAGGGAAATACATATGCATCAAACTGACATTCATACTATTTGAGTCGGGGGGTCCATATCTTGGCGAGTGGAGGAGATAAGAGCATGATCGCCAACATTTCAGGGACGGTGACAAGGATTTGGCAGTTCTGCGGATCGTGGACCCGGTAATCACGGGAATGAATGGCCCAGCAGCTCCCTGTAATTGAATCAGTGATGATCACTTGTTGAATATGAGCACATGAGTACTCACGACCATTAAGATCCTTGCTAAACCTAGCATAAATCTCGGCTGCAACCTGAGCGACAAGGGCTTTTGTCGGTGCAATATAAACGAGTATCCCGTCATCAGACCCTCGGAGAATCTTCTCCATAGCGTAATACGAAATGAAGGTCTTCCCCGCACTGGTAGGAGCTATAAATAACTGAGTGGTTGTTCTACCTCCGAAACAAAGCATCACTAACCTACGACGAGAAGAGACATATTTTGGTCGACAGCGTCAAGCACCTCGCGTTGCCACGCATCTGGCTTGAAGGTCACTCTTGCGTCAGCCTGACTGTCCATACTTCTATCCATGAATTCCCCAAATAGCCGGAGTTGCCAAATAATAGGGTGCTCTTGGATTCGCATAAAGTCATAGACCGCGGTCTTAGTTTTGGACTTGACCAGCTTGACGAAGCGAAAAGTTAGCGGCCTGTCATCAGCTGAACCTGAGACCACGAGACCATCGATGTAGTCGCTGAAGCCGAGGGTAATTAACACGCTTGTGATTGCATTAACCATCTCTTTTGTGCTAAAGCCGATCTCCCAAACTGCCTTGACGAGACGCATGAGCAACAGGGAATATTTGTCACGAGTCGCCGAAGAGTCTGGATTAGCGGACTGGATCCACTCTCGGAGCAGACGGTGCATACGATAGACCCGAAGTTCCGCGCCTACGGATGCCTCCTTAGTTCGCGGATTGCGGGCAAGAACTTGCAGACACTTTTCGAGACCAGCGCCATCCAGGGTTTCCATCTCTTGAATGCGGGACGCGATCCATGCTGCAGACTCAGATACTTGTTTAGATTCCTTTTTGGCAATATTCTGTTCGCGGATGGCATCGGCTTTTGATAGCTTGCTGGTACTTTTGCCTGACGAACGAACGTGAACAACTTTTGGCTGGGGGTTTATGATAAGCGACAGAAGTAAGAGTTACTATGCCTGAGTACCGACCTTCACGTTACGCTGATTCGCAAGGGACGCTACAGATGGTATTTTCACTTGTTCGAGGACAGCTCCTAACGCCCCTGTAAGGGTGCTAGCTTGGTCATGCAAGGTCTTCATAAAGCGCTGGTCCGAACGAAGCTTCCAAGTACGCTGCCGATTACGCTGCCATTCAGTCATCGGTGCTGTAGCCTCTCCTCCGAGGGGCTTGGGTAGAATGGCTTTTTTATTGTTGTGCCAATGCTGCGTGTCAAAAAAGTGTGTATCCTCTTTTGATGTTTTATTTTGAGAGGAACGAGCGGATGGGAGGACAACAGCGGACTCGTCACTAGTGCTGCTATCATCCCACTCGTCAGACTCTTCTCCACCAGAAGCCACAGGATCTACGGGATTGGGGCGTGTGACACCCTCCGTAATACCCTCCGTAACAATGCGGACGGCAGAAAGCTCCTCGTCGAACACTGGGTTGGAAAACGGAAGGAGCTTGAGGGGAATTGGTATCTCATACAAGTCTTCAGGAAGGAAAGATATGCTCAAATGCGAAAAGTCAAGATGCGGGAGCTTCAACTCAGAAAAGATATTGTCTGCATCTTTGACCACATTCGGTCCCAGGACCTCCGTCAACGATTGAGCTGGATGCTCGGAAAGATAGCGCAAGATACAAAGGAATACACGAATATCAATGTCGAGGGATGCATCGTTTGCTACAATGACTGCTTCTGTCGCTCGAAGGATATGAGGTAGGAAGGATTTCGTCAATGAAGTGAAAAGGTCAGGTTTCATTGGCGGCAGGCGCCGCGCTCGATCCTGAACGGAGACATTCTTGAGAAGAATGACATGGATGATAAAAACAGCAAGTAGCAACGGCTGAGTGTCGCTCTTGAATGTTGAAAGATATGACAATCCAACATCCTTCAGAGTCGCGCAGAGGTCGAAGAAAGATGGGGATACTGATGCTTCACCAAGAACGCAGCTGCGGACTTGATCGAATGGCCCTTGTTCGTGACTAGTAAGAATGTCCCTGGCAGCGACGCCCGCGGATAAAACAGCATTGGGGAAATGCCCTCCACGGCTTGAGCGAAGCTTTGATTCAAAAATGAACGTCAAGATCTATAGCATGACCAACAATCAGGTAAGAAAATCGAACAGGGAGGAGGAAGACGCGGTGTGACCTTGGTGTCCTTGAAATCAGCACCCTGGAGCGGCGCCATTGCCAAGCCACTAGCCAGTAAATCGAAGATAAATAATCGTTGAGTGAGTATTTGATGGGCAGCGAATTGTCCGACTCCTTCCTTCAGTGTACCGCCATCATTGACCATGACAAACATTGGCTATATGGGAGTGAGAAAAAATTATCATTGTGAGACAAATTTCTACCTTCACTTGAACACGATAGTCGAGCCAATTTTTGTCGGAGAGACTCGTAAAAGTGAAGGTATTCACCGAATCCAGCGACTGGAGGTGCTTATATAGGAGTCTTCTGGCTAGGGCTCGAGATGCAACAATAAATTCCGACTCGCCCGCTCGCAGTACTAGGTGTCGGTTGACTAAGACGTATCAGTAAGATAGACTGAGATGGTGAGGTGGAGAAGTGGCCTCACCATCAAAGAAAACGATATCGAAGTTCGCTGAGCGATTTCGAAAGTTCTGTAGTATGTGTTCTAGTAAATAGATCGCATGAATGATTTGAAATGATGGATCTTCAACAGTGCCATCGCCCGAGTCATGTCAGATAAAAACTATCTGCACTAGACCACAATAACATACCGTCATCCTTCGCTAGTGCGAGCAGACGATCATCAAGCACAACTTGGAGTAAAGAATGACCTGGGATGTAGATCAGCATCAACGTGAAGGTTAGACGACTAACAAATCAAACGAGTACCATCTATGACGAAAGGTTCTGCACCGGCATAGTCGCCGATTAGGTCCATCCAGCGAGCATTCCTACTTTCAGGCGCATACCACGTTGAATCGACCCAGTCCAAAGTTTCTGTAATAGTGCATGATTTTGATAGATCGGAGTTCTCGATGGCTCGCTCGATATCAACTTCAAACTCCTCGAAATCCATAGTGCGGATGGTAGCGTGAGTGGGATCCAAGCGATCTGCAGTTTTTTAATGGTCTGTCTAGGGCAGACAAGTCGGCTTCCGGAAGTGGAGATGGCCAGGATAATCACCTCGAGGCGCAACCACTGGGGAGATCAATGATACGGCACGAGGCTGAGATCTAAGACTAGTATAGGGCGGCGCTTGCTCGCCCAATACAGAAGGAAGCTTTATGTAAATTGGGGTGACTCAGCCATTGAGAACGTTCTCGAACCGCTGAATTCTTGGTTGAGTTCATAGTGCTTATCGATGGCAAGAGAACTTTGCAAGCAGGGTATTAAGAAGTTGGGCAATATCAAATGATATCTTCGAAGTTCAAGTTCGCACATGCATCTCCGATGATTCTCCATCGATAACAAACGTGAGTTGGTCGCTAGGCTGACATGTATGGTCATTACTACTCACGAGACAAACGTTCAAGCTTCAAGCTAAGCCCCAAGTCTCGCCGAAAGCTGGGGCAGTGATTGAGAATGATGACGCGAATGACTAAATTATCGACGATATGTGGCACCATCAGTGATCTTCGGTCACTGCGATCATGGAGAAGGCTAAGTTTAGGCCTGGCCGCTCGAGTTGACCGCACCGTCGCTGATTGTGGGTATCAGAAAATCGAGTCAGAAAGAGTGAAATGGAAGTACCCACTGGAAATGAAAAGACTAGTAGACAAAGTTCCAGACCCTGGCGCTACTATAGTAGATGATTGAGTCATCGGACTAGTATGTAATAACGGCTAGAAGCAAAAGAGTCTGAACTGTCACACGTCCGCGTCAACCTCTAATATTCAATAGTACAATACGTGTACGGCATCAGCCGGACCGTCCGCACTGCAGCTGGCAGCAGCCGGAACTAACGCGTAACGCTTGGATCATCGACCGCACCATGATGCACATTGCAAAGTACTATATCACATTTACTCGTGGCGCCCGAGACCTGGCAGAACATTTTTCAAAACCACGTAGATCCGTTATCTCTGGGCACCGCGTGAACAAATACTGTCAGCTGTGGTTGAGGCTGATTCCGATGAAATCTCACGATGTCAACGATGATCTCGTGCAGGTCAGAGTCAGAGTCAGAGTCAGCACAGGGAGATAACATCGTGTCGTTAACCTCAACCTGTCTTTGGTTATACCTATGGCATCTCATTTCACCACCCTTAATAACGGCCAGATCATCCCTGCCATCGGGCTGGGTGAGCTCACGAACTCAGTTCAGGGTTAACGACTTACTGACAAACTGAACAGGAACATGGCAATCGAAACCCAATGAAGTTGCCCGCGCTGTCGAACATGCGCTGAAGGCAGGCTATAGACATATCGACTGTGCTTGGTAGGAAAATGTTGGTTGATCGTGAAATAATCATAACGAACGCTTCACACTAAAGGGCGTACGGGAACGAGAAGGAAGTCGGAGAGGGCCTGCGTGCATCGGGCGTTCCGCGGGAGGAAGTGTTTGTGCGTATGACATATCTCACGGATTCGTTACCCTGTTCACCTGGGTATTGATAGATCACCAGCAAGCTTTGGGGCACATACCATAAACGTGTTGAGGAATGCCTTGACCAGACACTGGCAAACTTGGGAACAACATATCTTGACCGTGAGATCTGCATTTCTCTGGCCTTGTCTGATTGACACTGACAGTTCTTAATTATCAGTTTACCTTGTGCACTGGCCTGTCGCGATGAACCCGAACGGAAATCACCCTGTCATGCCGATGCGCCCGAACGGAAACCGTGACATTGATGAATCCTGGGACATCAGGGATACATGGAAGGGTATGGAGGCCATGGTAAAGAAGGGTAAAGTCAAGTCAATCGGCGCATCAAACTTCTCCCAGACGGTACTCGATAAGATTTTGCCGACAGCTGAGATCATACCGGCTGTTAATCAGGTGTGTTCGACGTAATGTCACCATTCAAAACTGACCATTGAAACATGTAGCTTGAAATTCATCTGTACAATCCGCAGCTCGAACTTCTTGATTACTTGAAGTCGAAGAAGATTGTTCCACAGGCGTACTCGCCCCTTGGTTCGACCAATTCTCCACTGTTGACCGATGAGTCTGCCACAGAGATCGCAAAGAAGCATGGCCTCAAGAGCACGTCCGATGTCCTTCTCGGCTACCTGCGTGCGTTAATGCTTGTCATTCGTTCTGTGCAAAAGATCTGCAGTTGATGTGTCTCATCGCAGTGGCGAAGGATATCATTGTCCTTCCCAAATCAGTGACACCATCCCGTATCGAGTCTAACTTGACCGGTGCGCTAAAGGCATACAGTGTGCTGACACCAGAGGACATCAAAGTCCTTGACGGTGTAGCTGCGGGTGGCAAGCAGAAGCGTTTCATCATGCCTCCCTGGGGTGAGTGTTAATACTAGCTGCGAAGGGTTGGTACTGAAATGTGCTATCCAGGTATTGACCTCGGCTTTGATAATTGGCCTGCTCAAACAAAGTGAGCAATAGGCGCAGTCATTCATTGGTGTATATGATTGATAGTAAGTAAATTGGAGTGCACGACTGTAGCATCTGAGGCAGACATGAAACCGTCCGCATCAGTAGAGCTGCATGTATTTCATGAATGCCTTGTCACACCATTGATTGGCCGACGGCCTAGTAAACACATGATACATATGCAATGCGACCGTACAATGAAATGTCACGAATCAGGAGTAAGCAAGTGCCTCCATTCATATGAGGGTGTAGGCCGGTAGACCTGTGACACAGCTAGTCTTGGTACGCCGCGCGCGGTAGAATTTTCGGGTCGGAGGAAGGATTTTAGCGGTGGCTATTGTAAACAAGCGTGCACGCGTACTGCCACTCTGCAAGACAGAAAGTGCTCCTTGAGGCTATGGCCAATCGTCCGCGGGATAGAGATGACAGCTCATCACTTGTCTCAGGACGATGAGTGATTTATATGTTGTGATTGCGCAAGTGCCAGCACAAAGAAAACGACCATCATTAAGTATGACCTGAAGGAGAGGTGCTCAGCTCGTAAACTTGACCCATCACCTATACTGGGATGATCGTGCAGGCCTGAGTGACCATAAATATATCGGAGTCCATGGGGCAACGGTTGGCCTGACGAGCCACGGGTAACAGAAAGACCTATCACATGTACATTAGAGCAGATTTCTATGTCGACGCAAATAGGTTGAGAGGTGTTGGAATTTTCTCAATTCGCCCCAGCCAGCAAAATAAAATCTCGAAGGATACCTAAAGAGTAGTAGGATGGCCAAGCTTAATTACAGTAAGTGAGTGAGAGCTGGGAAAAGCTGATCAACAATTCATTGTCGGGAGCTATCTGATACGAGCACCGACGGCAGGTTCTGCCATAAGCCCATGGGTCTGTCCGACTTTTACCGTGCTTTGCGCAACGCCAAGTTGTTATGTTCCGATGGGCTCAGGAATTATGTGAACCTGAGTAAGGGCTGCACCAAGAGAAAAAATTCAGCTGTCGGTGTCTTTGTTCTTGCGCGATGGTCCGGAATGTTTTGTCACACCAGCGGCGAGTGAGATCAGGTTGCCGTTGTCAATATTGGATCACGGAAGCGAACGAGAGTTAGAACAAGTTACTAGACCAAGTAAATCCAGATCCTGTGCAAACCTTGACGGCGAGTCAGGACGTGTTACTAGATGCTCGGCCGACGATGGCAGTATCACAGTACTATGTAGTTAACGTTGAGCACGATGTATGACCTGGTCACCAACTATGCAATACTCGTGTCTGCTACGGTTGTCGGCCAGACCAAGTTCCGCTAGCTCCGAGAAAGTATCGGAGCCACGCAAGAGACACGTGGTCGGCGTGGTTGCGAAAAGGCTCCGCGGCACTAATTTGAAATAAGGGACCCACATACTAATAGGGAAGTTGTCAATCTTTCAAATTATCGTCATCAATTTTGCGGAAACACACGTAGGTGAATCGGTGCAGGGCAGTTTCAGGTTCTGTTGGTGTTCGCGATGGTCGGATTCGTATATAAGGCAGCCTGCCTTGACTCTCATTCCCAATAACCCTCCTGCTCCTCTCCCAAAATCCTCATTTCGCTACTGCCTCTAAACATGCCTGCTGTTGTCGTTAACACCCATGCCGGACATGAGCTTGATGCTATTTCTGACGCAGTCGATGAAGGTGTGTACTTGCTGCTCCACCACCTTCGTTATGTGACTTACCGTCTCTCTGCAGTAAATGCTTTAAAGGTCCAAAATCAAATCTGGGACTCTCAGTCTGAGTTCGATTCCACCAAAGACAAGACGACCTTCCGGCAGTATGAAACGGCCTGCGATCGCGTCAAGAATTTTTACAAGGAGCAACACGGTTTGTTTATCCATTCAATCTACTAATTCGCAATGTGGTACTGACACTGTCACGTAGAAAAACAAACCGTAGCTTTCAACATCAAGGCCCGCACGGAATTCAAGAGCCGGAAACGCGCTCGCATGGGTATCTGGCAAGCTATGGAAATGCTCAACACGCTTGTGGACGACTCGGATCCAGACGTCAGTAATTTGTTGGCTTGCGACTTTCCTTTGCTGACTTGCAATACATATTTAGACTGAGCTTTCGCAAATCGAGCATTTACTCCAGACTGCCGAGGCCATCCGACACGATGGCAAGCCTGAATGGATGCAAGTTACCGGTTTGATCCACGACCTTGGTAAACTGTTGTACCTATTTGGCAGCGAAGGCCAGTGGGACGTTGTCGGTGTAAGTTCCTTTACCTGGTACTCGTAACAACCTGCATACTGATATGCTTCTTGACGCAAGGATACCTTCGTCGTCGGCTGTGCTTTCTCCGATAAAAACATATACCCTGGTACCTTCGCCGGCAACCCAGACTTCCACGACGCCGTTTATTCTACCAAGTATGGAATTTATGAGCCTAATTGCGGCCTTGATAATGTTATGGTGTCTTGGGGTCACGACGAGGTATATTTCTGTCTACGTATAGCATTCTTCTGTGCTTATCAAACTTCTCACAGTATCTCTACAATGTCGTTAAGGATCAGAGCTCCCTCCCTGCAGAAGGCCTTGCTATGATAAGATATCACAGCTTTTATCCGTAAGCCTCTCCCACTCGGCATAGCCCACCGAATTTTTACAATGTCTATCCAGATGGCACCGTGAAGGAGCTTACACCCACCTCATGAACGAGAAAGATCACGCAGCTCTTGAGGCCGCTCGCGCCTTCAACCCTTACGATCTCTACTCGAAGTGTGACGAGCCTTGCGATATTGAAAAACTTCGCCCATACTACCAAGACCTCATTGCTAAATTCTTCCCTTCTGAGATTGACTGGTAGATGCGATAGATGCGCGCACACCTTTATTCTAAAATCATAGGTCACCGCCTGGTATAGATCCAGCCTCCTGTGGAGGGTGGAAACCGTGCAGCTTAATTGTGTATTTCTTTCAAAGTTTGTGTCCCTAGTTTTTCCATTTACTTTATTGCGACAGTATCCTTATGTCCGTATAGAAGCTTTAAGTATTGAAATAATTTACTGCATTATTAATATTGCCAACAGAATAGTGTGAACTTTGAAGTTTGCTTTGATCAAAGATATGATAAGATTTGGCTCCAATGACCAACGTGCACAGTGCACACGTGCACGTGCAACCCTGGACCTGCGCCACCACTGAAACACTCCATATCTCAAGATCTCACGGATTCAGCTTCACTATCTTTGACTCATACCTTCTATATCCTGCTAGACAAGATATATCCAAACATACTAGACAACCCCTCGTACTTATTCTGCAATGTCGCAGGAATCACCTCTTAGCGAACCAGTCATCTATCACGGCAAGAAATTTATCGTGCTCAGCGATTGGTGCGTAAACGCTAGATCTAGATCTAAGCGGCGATAACACTGACTGAGGCTCGCTGTGCTCAACCAGGGATGGCACGATCACCACGCAGGACTCCAATGATTGTTTGTCGCGTCGAGAACTTACTATGTGCCTTGCTCTAATCAAAGTACTACGATTCAGTTGTGACGGACACCTTTGGGATGGGGCGCTCAGATCGTGTTCTGCTCAATCAGCGTATACGTAAAGGCGAAGATAACTTCCGGTGCGAAACATTCTGCATAAACGGAGCTGCCGAATTGATTTCGCCATTTAGGGATGCTTTCCGGAAGATGATCGTGAGCATCAATGAGAATGGCAAGGAGGAAGGAAAGGTGACGCATACATTTGAGTTTTGTAAAAATGCTGTCGCGGAAAGTAAGTTTTGTTTGCGCATGACGCCAGGCGTTTGTTTGCAGCTACTGATGTGGTCTGTTTCAGATATCAAAGTCGATGATACTTTCAAGGGCTTCTACGAATTTTGCGAAATGAATGATATACCCGTGGTAATTGTGTCCAGGTACAAAAAACTTATGGTTTCGCCGTGCTGTGCATTCATACCTCCGCAGTGGTATGGAACCTATCATCCGCGCAGTCCTGAATAAGTACCTGGCCAGCCTTGACGGCATTCAAATAATATCGAATGAGGTGAAAACATACGATGATGGGAGCTGGGACATCCAATACCGTCATCCCGAGAGGTAACATTTCATATCAGTGTTTGCGCGTTTGACTGAGAATGATAAATTAGCGGTTTCGGACATGACAAATCGAAGGCGATTGCGCCATACAGGAATATGGATCCTGCCCCGATCGTATTCTTCTTTGGTGATGGCGTCTCAGACTTATCCGCAGCGCGGGGAGCGACTTGTCTGTTCGTCAAGTTCAAGCCGAATGGAGAGAACGAATTGATGGAATACTGCATCATAAACAAGATCAAGCACCGGTTATTCCAGAGTTTCGAGGAGGCGCAAGGTGTGATAAAGCTGATCATCTTCGCAAAGACGGAAGAAGAGCGACAGAATATCATTGCACGGGAGTGGCCTGAAGTGGCTTAGAAGTTGTCTCACCTCACCCCCAGTGATGGCAATCGCAGGGGAGAAGAAGTATCGAGTACTCGTGACACAATGCATTTAGATTTGGAGGTATCAAGATCGCGCCTTTAATTGATCAAGTTGAACGCAGCTTATTATTCTCGGTATCAGTGGTACCTTTGCCTGAAACTTCGTCCAGATATGTCAAGCACAACCAACGAATCAATTGACGCATCAGTTATTAGGCGTACCATTGCCACGACAGGTGTTGGGCAAGAACCAAGTGACTCGATGACGGATCTCAGCGTGACTAAACCTGTTGGAGATGCTGTAGTACAAGTGAATACGTGCTTGACAGAGAATTGCAATCACACTTACAATGGGATTGGCGGGGGAGCGAAAGATTGATGGAAGTGACGAACGAGAGTTCGAGTGAATGTATGTTGCAACAAAAAACGGTCGAAAGAACGATGGCAAGTCTACAAATGAAAGAGATGGTTGCGCTACAAATGATACTCCAAGTTACCCTGGCGAGGATAAAAAAAGTAACACGAATCATCGCAAAGAAAATTGAGTACTCGTCTGCTAACGTTTCGAATTATTCTTCCCCGATGAGGCTGATAAAAGCTGGTCGTACAAATTCACCTTCACTTCCGCGATCTTCCTCAAAATTCCCTTCATCCTCACCAATGTCGCTATCAGCTGCTTCCCCATTTCCGTTTTCCTGTAGCGGTTGTACAACTCCGTAGTGGCCAAGTGGACGTCCAACATCTTCATTTCCAGAATTTTCCGTGGAGAAAGACTCGATCAACCTGCTGAAGTGTTGTGCATATGAAGCCTGGATCACTCTGTTAGAAAGAAATTCCACCAAATTAGGCGCGGCGACCAAAATGAAACCAACGATCTTTGTAGGATGACCAACCCTTGAGCTGCTGAAGTGTGCCACACTCAGTGCATTGTGTGAAAATCCTCGGTGGAGAACGTCAGGGGATACTTATGTTCCATCACAGCAGACCCAATGTATGGCAGCGCGATATCAGATTGGACATGAGCAATGATGCAGTAAGGATTAAAGATGAATAGCCCCTTCCAGTAGGGACCACGCCTTGACCATCTGCAAATGGGTGGTGTTGTCGGACTGCACACCATATTTTGGCACGACGACGAACTCTAGCGAGTGTGTAGTGCCCTGTTAGCATTCCGAAGTAGATCGGCTCCCAACAGGGTGGGAAACACGAGTCCCTGAACGCATCAATTACATCAGTGGTGAAGACCTCAACCACCGCTCGGTAAGCATATTTCCTCATCACTCTTAAGTCGAAGCTCACCGCCCTCGCGCAGACCTACCCTGCGCTGTCTTGCCACGTTCGCGTCACTCCCTCAAACACCCATCACCGATTCCCATCCGACCAGTACTTGATATTGACATCCCCAACTTCAACTCCCACAGTGCTGCCAGCTCTGACACCACCAACAAAAATCCCCGCTGCTCCGAATTCTGCTTCCAAGTCCACCAAGACTTCCTCATCTTCGTGTCACACCGTCTCCCACAAAACTTGGGTGTGTAGTGTAGTCTCCTTCACAGTATTTTGTTATTTACATATTATGAAACTTTAATTATGAACCAACGTGTCTGCTTGACTGAGGGAGCACTGAGATGAAGATGCAATATACAAATTATGACTACCAATATTCGACAGGAACATGTACATAGACAGTAGGGTAGTATGCACGATGCAGTGGAAATCATTGAAGAAAAATATGAAGGGGCCTGCCGCCGCGAGGTAGCGGTAAGAGTCAACTGGTGGAGAAAGACAACAAGGGAAAAGATGTCGATGACGAACGCAAAGGGGATCCGACGCTAGATCTTGACGCGGACGTACTGCCTGCGCTGTTCCGAAAATTTTTGACCGGCGGCGATAGCATATTTCATGGCGACGCGGCCGCAGAATTGGCGTGAAGGGTTATAGGGAGGACGCAGAAAGGTGGCGCCATTCATGAGCGCTAGGGTTGGGAAAAAAAGGCAGAGAATGCTGTTCGCAGAGACCGCGAGCTCGACGAGTAGAACGAAGACATGTAATTAGGACAATGAAGACGACAATACATAAAAAAAGATTCGTACCTTTCTCCGGCACAGTTTGCGGGGTCCAACCTTTACTAAATAACGTCAGTTGAATGCTAACATGGTTTCTGAAACATAGAGAGCCGATCTATTTCGGAATGCTAACAGGTCACACATCACTCAACTCTAGCTTGCGAAGATTATGGAAGGCAAAGAGCAGATGAAAAGTTGTAGCAGCACCAATCGGAGTGTTGCAACGTTGATCAGCCGGCCGCTCAATGATGCAGATCAGCACCCGCTCTGCCATGCTATTCGCACAAGTGTTGGGCAGATGGGAAATCGAAGTCGGCAGGGCCCGTGCGGAATCCATTCCACGAGACTGACGGAAAATAATAGCACTTCTGGAGTAATAAGAGGAGGTCTCAAAAAGAACTTAAGAGCGTCAGAAAAAACACACACGAAATCATTGAGTGTCAACACTTTCGGGGTAGCAACCAGATATATTGAAATGTTTTATTGCTAGCCCCACACCAGGTAAGAAACGTCGGATTGGGAAAAGAGGGAAGGGAAGCTAATGATATACCAAAATTCGGTACCGACAGTCACATCGGAGGTCACGGCTCTTTGAAAGTCTTGTAACAGTGAATACGAACATAAGCCAGCGTGTAACTTACCTGTTTTTGGTTATCCTATTTCCACAAGCTTTATGGGAGACATCTGATTAACGGCGCAAGGCCTCACAGGTTTCACCACAAAAGGTCCCGCCTGAGGCTCCAGTACATGACCAGTAAATGACTTGCATGTCAATGCAAGAATCAGGAGTGTCTGGTTTCTCGAGAACTACTAGTCATGGACAAACTGGAGGATGTTCCACCAAAACTCTGGTATCAATTAATCATACGACTCAAGCGGTGCGGGAAACGGAGGATTGACGGTGTTGCTATGCATATCGGATAATATCGCCGAACTGTCCGCCGTGAGCTCTTGACGCGAGTTTTTACAAGTACTCCTCCTCCATACTGGCCTACAGGCAGCGCAATTTGGAGATGATATCTCGGAAGCAACGTTGCTCCGAGTCGCGGTGTGAGTTCAAAATTTGAATCTAAATTTATTGGCCGTGAGATCTGGGTAACTCGTGAGTACCACAAGGGTTTTGTTTGGTACAAGTTTGGCACACATTCGCCTATCACCGCCCAATCAGGCCGAGCAGGAATTGTAGTCGTCACTTACTGTCGCATGTGCACAGGGGCACAGCGACCCAGAAATATCTAGGAGGGCTCACTACGGGAGACTTTTGTACGTCTACTACTGTGCTGTTAGACTTCCGTGGCTAAGCAGTCCTCGTTGGTCTCCGATTCTCGGACTATTGCCACGCTATTCGTGTGCTTATTATTTAACTTGGAGCCATACGGCACCTGGTATTTCTTGCACAGGAGAACGAGTGTGATTTGATGGGTGGGAATGGCACGACAGGCCCGACTATGTTACTACTCTACGGAGCTGAGCAATCTTGCACTATTACTGCTCATAAATTGTTGATCGCGTGCTTACCTATGGTTACTTGGTTCAAATGTCAGCGCTTCAGCTGCCAAATCTGAACATGCTGTTGAAAACTGTCACATGTCTTCCAATTTATTTGCATCGATTCATATGGACGCTTTTAACTTCCATGTGTTTCTCCAGGCGAGTCCTGTCAGTACTGTGGCCGCCCCGACCCATATAAGCCTCTTGGGGTCATTCATGGTGCATTGACAAGGCTCCCGCTCTTTTGTTCAACATGCAGTCATTCTCAGCCCTGCTTCGCGCAGTTCTCCTCGTCACCGTGACCTCTGTATCGGCTTCAAGTTTCTTCAGGATCCCCCTGACGAAGCTTGCGCCAACTAACTCATACCTTGCGGGACTGCCTGATGCTGATCGTGCACGTGCTGCATTTCTTAAGGGTTTCGCTTCTGGTGGTTCCACAACCGTCCCTGCATCTAACCTCGCATATGTCCAGTACACAACCAGTGTTGGCGTTGGCAGCCCTCCGACGTACTACAATTTAGTTGTCGACACTGGTAGCTCCAATACATTTGTCGGGTAAGACCTGATTGGTTATTCCCTCAGGCTAAATCTCATTTTATCTCAAGAACTGGGATACCATATGTCCGGACCTCGACCAGTATATTCACCGGTGAAGACGTCAACGTCACTTACGGCAGTGGTTACTTTTCTGGCTTGGAGTGTAGGTCTTTGGGCTGCTTAGGAATAGTAACATCTAAAAATTCGTCCTTCAGATTTCGACCAGGTGACGCTTGCTCCAGGTTTTGCCATCACCAACCAGTCCATCGGTGATGCTCTTTCCTATGCCGACTTCGAGGGTGTCGACGGCATCGTCGGAGTGGGCCCCGTCATTCTGACTGAGGGCACACTCTCACCAAGTACCGACGAGCTGATTCCCACTGTTATGAACAACGCCCTCTCGCAGGGTTTGATCACAGAGGAAATATTAGGTGTCTCTTTCGCACCTGCAACGAGTTACAATGACACGAGTGAGAGAGCTTGTGTGGTATAATTGAAGGTGATCTAACTTGCGCGCAGATGGAGCCCTCACTTATGGAGGCATCGATTCGTCTTTGGTGAGCCCAAAAAGTATGTCCTAAACAATGGTTCTGAGTTATCCAGTACATCGGCGAAATCACCTATACGCCGGTCACCGCAACTTACCCTGCTGGCTACTACTGGGGTGTCAATGTCACCGATGCGACGTACGGCTCCACAACGACCGTAATCCCAACGTCAACCGCCGGAATCGTCGATACTGGTACCACTCGTAAGGCTTTACCACACATCCGCATGCATACTTTCTGACACATTTCTAGTGGTCCTCCTCGCTGATAACTTCTTCGAGTCCTACATGCGTGCCATCCCTGGTGCCAGGATTGACGAGAGCACGGGCCTCATGACCGTCCCTAAAAGCTCTGTCTCGAAAATCCAACCATTGAACTTTACTATCGGCGGCACCGTCTTTAGTCTCGACGCTGCAGCACAACTCATTCCGATTGACCAGAACACCGCATGGGGCTTGTCAGCAAACACGCAGTACGGAATTGTCTCGTACTTAGGGACTAACAGCGGCGAAGGGCTAGACTTCATCATCGGACAAAAGTTCATGGAGAAGTACTATGCTGTGAGTTGTCGAATCACGAGGTGGCTATGTAGTCTGGGTATTGATTGAATTACAGGTTTTCGACACGGATAGCAATCGCGTTGGATTTGCTTATACGTGAGTTTTTTTCCTCATCCAGTTTTCTCTTCCGACTGAATTTTTTTTGCAAGTGAACATACATTCACCACGTACACTCCTTGATATGGGAGTACCTTCTTAAATGGGATGGGCAGTAGTAATACTTTCTTTACACATACCTCATGCTCCGATTGGGTTATCCCATGCACCGTTAATTCACTGCACCGCTCGCTAGGGCCCGAACTTCATTTTAGGATGCACTCATGTGGTGCTTATCAGTGCTATGACTGAGAGATATAGGAGCGTAGCCTCGTACCCAGACATCTTCAAGGGACGATACCAAGAAATCCTAACTGGGATGTGAGAGCAAAAATATCAGTGACGCTTAAAGGCGATTGAGGAAATTGTGAGGAAGCGATGCGGGAGGATGCAGGTCGGACCCGGAGACTTGAGATGCCGAAAGCATAAGGGTTACCCTGCAGGCCGAGCACGCCGAGCACCTAGTCCTGACATCGACGTTCCCAGTGACTGTGCTATAGATAGAGGTCTGCGGAGAGTCACATTTAAAGCCAGAGTGTCGCTCATCCGACTCGATCTCTATTGCAAGTTTATGTCGCGGTGGAGTAGGGGACCTAGTGGTTCGCGGTATTCCCTGGTAAGAAATGCTGTTCGATGATGATAACATGCCATTACGAGTGCCTTGTAATATGTAAACGTTCGTGCACATGGTGACTGTCATTAGTATGACCGAGAGTGTCCACCCGGGAACTTGTGATAGATACCGAAAAGGCTACTGTGGGATTTTGGTAGCTACTTAGGTAAGTGGTGATCACACGTGGTTCCACAGTCACGCGGGTGTGATTTCAACACATTTACGACCTGTTGAAATTTAACTACTACATAGTGTGGCTGCCAAGCGCAGGCTCTGTGCGCACTGTAAGGGCACCGGCCTCATACGGGGACACTCTCATAACCCATTCATGACTGTTATTCCGTTCTTTATCTATTCTTTATTTTTGTCTTCATCATAATAGGTGAGGCACTGCTTGCATCCGTTGCTTGTCCGGAGCCGTGTTGATCGATGATCAAGTATCAAGCGGAGAGGCTTGGGCTATATCTTGCTCTGTTCTTGCCGCGAAAAAAAATTAGTGTGGGGTCATTTTTGAGCTGATTTCTTCAAGTACTAGTCACAACGTACGTGGTGTCTTCACGATTCACTCAATTTCCCCACCTTACATCATGCGGTTTTGCAATCTACAGGATCGACACTTGAAGTCTTCGTTCTCACACATTCCGAATCTGATGAGCACAAAGACTACCAGCAGCCTCCCGTTCTCCATGTTACCCCGGCTTGGTTTTACTCCCAGTCACAAAACGGGGTCTTCATCTCGTTCTCCTTATACTGAAAACCCTGAAGAAGACTGGTATATCCCCTACAATGGTCCGTTAGAACCACCCAAGAGCGTCTCGATGGTCAAGCAAGATACCACGAGACACATTTGTAGACAGGATGACATAAACGCATTTCTGGAAGATTCTCAATTACTGGACCGCTACCGGGATACGTCTGTGAACGATGCCGAGCCATTGGGACTAGGTCTACCTGCACAGTCAACTAGTTCCCACAGAACCCGTATTCGCTCTGATTTCATGAAGCATACTACGAGCTCATCAAGTGTCATCGACCCGATACGGCCACATCCTCGACGGCGGCAGGCGAGTGCACCGCGCTTGCAAATTCCCACTCACACCAGCATGGATGCTGGCGCTGACGTTGGCGAATCCCCGATGCCTATGCAGCGTATTGCAACATTGTCCCCCCAGAAAAAAATGGGTCGGTTCTTCGGCTTCGGATCTAGCAAAAAGCCAAAAAGACAATCAACCAGTACACCAGTATCCCCTATTATTCGGACTAACACACTGGGGACATGGCCTCCCAGTTCTGTTCAGCATAGTACACTCCAGGAAAATGTTAATTTTGCGAAACCTCCAGGTTCTAGCCCCAACACTAGCAATCACTTTGACTCACCTTATGCCGCATTGGCACAGCCATCCCGCAGAAGTCAGACCCTCCATTACCCGCCACGGGCTGACGTTATGAATCTCTCTCCCTCCAAGCAACGTTCCGCCCAGCACCTCAACTTACATGGAAAACCCGACCAAGACTCATTCCCTTCATTCCCGACCACAAACTATAATTCTCCAACTATCTCCATGGCTCACCCATATGCAAATACATCATCCTCTGTTTCTGTGTCTGCTTTTCGACCCGGAACCTCTCAACAATCTCGTCAAGGACATCAACAACTGGATTCGGGCTCACAACATACTCATTTCTCGCAGGATAATCCCACTTGGCGTAATCGGGCACTCACCTATGCGATCGACCCTCGCAGTGACGGTGCCGCCGCATCGGTTAAAAATGCACGTCCCTTGACCTCACCACTGAAGCTCTCTGTCTCCACCCCGAATCTTTTTGCAACTTCACACGACAAGCAACCTTCGCAACAGAGCACAAAGTCAACACCGCCGGTAGCAGGCGTTGAGCGCTGGCTATCTCCCGAGACATGGTGCGACGCACTGTTCTTTCCACGTCCACGCCTCAAAGTCAAACGCGCACATGGGTCGCATGGAGGAAGTAGTGGACAAATCCTAAGTCCGTCAATCACCTCTGTCGCTGAGGGTGCCACTCCGCGCCTCAGTCCTGCTCTACTTGGAGGGAGACCACAAGTTTCGTTGGTTACAACTGATGCACCAAGGAAACACCATGTTTTGTTGAAATCCAGGTCGGCTATTGATGTCCTGTCTGGCCCCTCTATGTCTGGCAGACCTCGTACTGCGCCCATGAAACGATATCTAGACCCAGATCCAGATTTAATTGAGGACACAAACCTTGAGGAGTCAGAATTCGTACCGGGCGCATCGACCGCGCAACAGGAATTCCGTCCGTCAACCCCTGTACCATCGTTGACCAAGTAAGTTGCAATTTTTGTAGGTAGCTAGCTAATGACCAAGTACTCCTGCAGAGTTCTTGAAGAAGGCGAGGCTCTAGAAGAACAACGAAGGCAGTGGCAACACCAGGCCTCACACTCGTTGGGGAACAGCCGAACCCGCTCCCTCTCCCGCGCTCGTGCTAGGTCATTGTCACGAAGTCATGGGCACAAGTCGGAGGGCAGTACGACCCTAGAATTTCTGGCTGCGCGGACGCTCCTCGGAGGTCAGAGCATTACCCCCACTATTAACGTTGCAAGAACTTCGCACTCCCGATCTCATTCCCATTCACACACTCGTTCGAATTCTCGCGGGCGCTCTAGTTCATACTCATTCACACAGTCACAGTCACACTCCCTTGGTAAATCCAATTCGCAAAGGTCGCTCGCGGATCCTCAACCTCAAAGCGCTCGACATGCCCGCAATGACTCCTGGGGCAAAACTGCCCTGCTTAAAGCATGCGCACCTTGCGGAGATATTAGTGATTTGCTGGGCACCCCTGTTGACAGCAAGAAAACACCCCTGGAACCTATGACGGAGGAAACCAAAGTCATACATTTGACTGACCCTGCGGACCCTTCGCATAACGAAGCCGACGAGGGATCCGTCATCGTTATAGGGATTTCCCCAGCCCCGACTACATCAAGCGGGGAAGGGGTCGGTATCGCACTTTCATCTCCCCCTCCTTTTGACGATCGCTTCTGTCCTAATCCCGAACTCCCGAGCATGCCCAGCCATCCATATGCCAACGGTGCCACATATAAACAGTATCTTAATCCATCTTCTGAGCATGGTCTACAACATTCCCTCAAAATGTCTGATTATGCTGGACCACATCCATCAGCCTACGACCCTCAACTCCCTTCTAATACTGCTAGAAACGATGTCAGCATGCGTCACAGGCTGCCTCCGCGGGCAATGCAGCCGGGTGCAATTTCACATCCTTACGCTATTGCATTGAGTGAACCGGTAAACTCACATGCACGGCAGCCTAGTAACTCTGTCCTTCCTACCCTTCCGGTCCCGCCAACTGTTGTGCAGGAAGACAATGGTTTCACATCTGATAATCATATATCCATCAGTAGTCCTGACTTCGAGAAGTATGGCGTTGGTGAGGTTCTTGTGTTCGCTGCGCCATCGCGAGACGAGCAGGAAAGTGACTCCGAGGATCAATCTTTGGGAACCATCATCCCGTGTCAGCAGGATACTCTGAGTCGAATCATAGACAAAGGGAAGGCCAAAGACCTGACATCTACGCCCATAGCCTCCGATAATAGCCAATCCCGGATACCCATTTCTGATTCTGTGGTCGTTTCCACTCGTCCTCCGAGTCTGATATCTGTGACAGCAGTCGAAGGCAGGGACTCCACCTACTCTCCTGGTACCCTCCGTACCACGACCAACATCACCTCCGCACATCTTGTTATTTCAGCTTTGGATAATGATGATCTAGACGAATTTCAAGATTTGTTCTATAAGCCTCCCCAGAACAGGTTGTCCAGTGGAAAATCTAGCGTAAAACATCAGGACACAAGCGAAACCAGCAGGGGTATACCGTCGGATATTCATAGCTCTTATTCTGGAAGCGCGCTCACCAACCTCATGCGAAGTATGAGCGAGATTGGAGAGCTGCATGTAGCGGCCTCGGATATCTCCTATGGGCAAAGGTCAGGCGGACCAGGGGATCAACGATCGGATGAACTATCTCAAACGTATATCTTCATGGACATGTCGAGGACTTCTTCACCGGTGCAGGTCGATCCCTGTGCTGTTACCCAATCGCCAGCCCAGCTTTACGATGCACCTTTTGAAATGGGTGTTCCAGAAGATATCGAATCCTCTCGAGCGTCTTCTCTTTTGATCGTCTCACAAGAGAACGACACTTTTGGTACGTGACACTCTGTCGAATTCGATCAGTGGCTAACGAACGTCTCTCACAGGTCAGCCCATCCGACAAGATGTCGTTGACGCTGCAGGAACATCCACCATTCACCAGGGCTCTTATAGATCCTCTACATACGCTTCGATCCACGATGCCGCCGAAGAAGCTGACCTGGTCAGCCCCATCTCGCCAATGCAATCGCCACCCGTCTCCGCAGATCCCATGCGGTCGAGCTACATGACCAGCGGGTCTGAGTACTCACGCATGTCCACCCTCTCCGATTTCCCCGACCCTCCCGCGCGAACAAATGTACCACCTAACCAACCCTCCATCTTTCAGATTTATGTCGACGCTCCTACGCCACTTCAACAGTCGGAGAGCTTTCAGGGGGCCGAATGCCCTCAATCTGGGTCCCGCGTCTTCAGCTTGGAGAGCCACCACACAACCTTCGGTGGCAGTGACGACATGGATATCATTACACAAGTTCACAGGTCTGAGCTTTGAATGTAACATCTATTGCATGCTCCTCTTACTGGAATCACCATCTGTTCTCGGATAGTGCACATATAGGGTATTTTTACTGTCATTGTTGTTGTATTGCAGTGTAGACTCCAGTATCATGCTTTGCTTACTTTGATTAGAATACACGCTAATTTTGCAAGGTTAATCGGCGCACCATTCATACAAGTCAGTCGCACTGAACGTTCAGGTTCTCCAGAACTGACAGAACAAAAATTACCCCTTGATCATTACTGCACTCATACCTTCACATATTCAACGGACAGACTCAATGATTAAAACAGGAAATCACGTCTATAGACTACATCCACCATCATCGAAGCTTCAAGACGTAACTAGCTTGAGCTATCAGCTGAGGCTTCAGTGGGTTGTGTCCGGGCAGTGATAAATTCCTTTTAACTTGTGATGTACTGAACTTTTGCAAATACAATACTGAAACTCATTGTCATTGTAGCCACGTTCGAATACAGACCAATCAGTCTAGCGTATACGTGTGTAACCTTGAAATGAAACAAGATGGATTAAATTCAAGATCGAGCAATTTGCCAATTGGATTGGTGCGACGACCGTTTACTTATTTAAATCCTGAATCATGATAGGACTTTCATTCTTGCATTAGCATCGAGCAGTCTGCCCTTGCTCAGGAGTTTTTCCTCTGCTCCTAAGCGCTTATTGCTGATAAAAAATTCTCGAGTTGATGACAAGTCATAGTCGTCGAGGGAGCCAACCAGTCATTCGTCTACCACAGAAATGCCGACTGCTGATTTTACGGCGATGGATGTCGTTCCTCCGGAGGATACGATAACTAATCAGCACAGACTCGACGAAGCACGCACAAATGGATAGTCATCAGATATTCTAGCTGACATTGGGGGATGGAGTGGACGGTCACAAATTTTGGTGTTCGGCCCTGAATTCGAATAAGCGATGCATGAGTAAGCGGTCCAGTGCCGCATGGTTACATTGAGGTACTCGCCCTTATTATCGTGCAATCGGGTGCCAGAGCCATGGAGTACCATCCAGTGTCAGTGAGCACTCACTTCAACAAGGGGAAATACAGACCGACATGCATCCCTCTTATATCCAATGCAGGGACTTCTCTTGCATTTGCACTCGTTTACAGTCAATGAATGTAAAGACGGAAATACTTGAATGGACGAGCAGCTGATTTGTTATTGATGTTCGAGGGGACAGCAAAAGCTATTACTTCGCTGCGGATCATATGTCAGAATGGTGGTCAATATAAGTAGAGTCGATAATGATTGAGCCACATGCCTCAGGCGGGTCTCAAATTTGCGCTCTCCTATGGGTAACGAGATGGTGATTAGATGACGATCAATAACAATGGGACTATGAATTGATCGTGAATGTCATGGTCATGGTCTCCGGTAAATATAGCTGGTATTCGCTCAAGTTTAATATAATACTTCCACGACGAAAATGATTATCTACAAAGACTGAAATAGGACGCACGACCATCTACGTCCTTTTCTTCTTGTGTGACTTCTTGGGTGCCGGCGCCGGAACAGGAGAAGGTGACCCCGACTCCTGTGGCGTTTCATCCTTTTGCACATCATCTATTCCACGCTTCTAATAACCAATGTCAGGGTGTACATTGCGAGACGCAGTGACAAACATACCTTGCCCCGCGATCCGCCCTTCGGCTTCACCTCCTCCGCCTGCCTCGCTTCCGCCTCCTTCTCGATCATGCCTAACAATGTATTACACCTGCGCTGCAATTCCTGTGGGGTCCGGCTCTTGAAAAACCAGTCAAAGCGGAATACAGGAAACTCCATGATATCCTTCTTGATACGTTCGTAGATGTCATCTGCGCCCATCCCGTAGTGGTTCAGCCGGCACAAGAGGTACCTATCCGCTTCTTCGCTGTAGACCTTGCCTTTCGTAGTCGGATAGTTGAGCTCAAGCTCTTGCATGGGATAGCGCACCGAGGCAATCTTCTTCGCAAGTAGAAATTCGAGATTTGACCGCTTGTTACGCTTGGCTTCACCTTCAGCAATACGTGCAGCAATTCTTGGATGTTCTTCATTCAGATAAGTCAGTTGGGACTTGGAAGAATACAGCTGATCGATATGCTTACCAGATAGTTCCTTCCAGTGCTTCTTGAAGTACAGGTAGTACTTCTTGACCTGTCTCCAGTCCTTATCCTGTATCTCCGAAGCTAACAAATCGTAGTCATCTGTCCTAGATGTTCGTCAGTAACCTACCTCACAGAAAAGCAGAAAATAAAATACCATCCAAAATTCTCAAGCGCGCGGACAAACTGCTGGAAGTCTCGTCTGCTCCAATCATGGAAGCCAGCCTCGGTGTATTTCTCTTTCAGTGCCTGCTCCTCTTCCGTCAGAGGCTCGGCAGTATCTATGAATTCTTGTGCAGCTGCGCGCTCGGCTTCGAGTTTTTCGGGTGTGTCGTCAGGTCCTGGTTCACGAAGAGTAGCTGTGATCCCATTTTGCCTCTGGTTGCAGAATGAATAACAAATAGAAAAATGGTTATAAAGTGCATACCTTGTGCACGGCGAGTTCTCGTTCCTGGAGCTGAGCCAGAGCGGGGTCGAAAAACTGGAAATCTTGTCTGCAGGGAGAAGTTGATTGACATGAGAGGGTAAGAACAGAAGTTATACGTACATTGGGATCTGTTTGGGGGCACGAGGGAGTTTTGGAGCCTTCTCGGTCTTCGACGGACCAACCCGAAGCGTCTCCTTGTAATAGTTATCGACGGAGTAATTAGCTTTCCGTTCACGCTTCGAGAGGGATAGCATATTGAAGTTGAGGCCTTTCCGCTGAATGATGATTTATGATTCAGAACACTCGAGACCACGTTAAAATTGAGATATAAACGTACACCTGGCCGGAAATCTTCGCCTTCCCACTGTTGCACAGTGGCATCGGACTTGAAATTATTTAGGTCCTCAAGATTGAGGCCCTCATACTTGCTGTTAAGCTCTGCCGTACGTTCCTCACCGCGTTGAACAATAGCTTCAATGTCGTCGTTGATGAGGAATCTGATTGGCAGTGATCAAGAAACATAAAACTTGTGTAATGTCAAGCAACTCACGCATCAGTCGAGTTAATGAGCTTCTCAGCGCCTTGTGTAATCATTTCAAGCAGCTCGTCCTTGCTGGCAGCTGCGCCTGACCAGTGAGCGCTTTGCAAGAATACCCGTGACGAAAATCTTACCTTTTGCTTGTTGTTGGCGACCTTGTTGAATAACTAGCTGGTCGAGCCGAAGTTTCTGCGCAGCACGTTCAAGCATGCGCTCCTCGACACTATCCTCAGTGATAAAGCGGAATACGTAGACTTGTTTAGTTTGCCCAATGCGATGCGCTCGATCCATAGCTTGCAAATCAGCCTGGGGATTCCTGAAGATGGATGAGCAAATTAGAGGGATACAAAGATAGATAACAAACCAATCGCTATCATATAAAATGACAATGTCAGCGGTGGTGAGGTTGATTCCCAAACCGCCGGCGCGCGTGGTCAAAAGGAATATGAACCTGTCACTGCCGGGCTTGTTGTATTCGTCAATAGCTACGATTCGATCGTCGTGCGCTGTGCTACCATCGATGCGACAGTATTCTGTTCAACGAGCCAGAAGTCAATTCAGAAGACGGTAATTTTGAAATGTTACGTACTAAAACCCCTGAACAGGCAATAGTCTTCAAGGATATCCAGCACTCTGCTCATCTGACTGAAAATCAGTACACGAGAGCCCTTCTCATTCATCGACTGCAGAAGTTTGTCAAGGATAATCATCTTTCCCGAGTTTTGGATGAGGTGCTCATCGGTTGTATACGGAGGACCAGGTTCCTAAGTTACTCGGTTCAGTTTCGAGTGTTTGAAAGGGATGACGATAAACGCACTGCGCCGTCGAACAAGTAAGGGTGACATGTCACCTTACGCAACTGCATGACCATGTTCATGAGGCGGGTCTTGCCCTCTTTCTTTCCAGTCAAGCCTGGAAGTGGGTGAGATGAGTGAAACGAGCAAAGCCAAGAAGTAGCGCACCATTGACAGCATCTATGTCCTTCTCAAGCACTGACCGGTACCACTTCCGCTGCATCTCCGTCAGGCCAACGTAAATGTTGATTTCCTTCTCTACGGGCAAGGCAGCGTTAGCGTAGGCATATGTATGTATCGATTGAACGTACTAGGCAGAAGATTCTTCTCAACATCGGATTTGACACGCCGCAAGAGGAATGGACGAAGAATTTTGTGAAGAGCTTCCACGACTTTCTTACTCTTATCCTCCTCCCCCTCCGCATCATCGTCATCCTTGTGTAGGAAAGAATCCAAATCTGCATAATCTGAGAATATCTCAGGGCAGATGAAGTTCAGAAGCGCAAACAGCTCCTTGAGGTTGTTCTGCAGCGGCGTTCCCGTGATAAGCAGACGTCCACGTGACATAAAAGAGCGGACGATTTGAGCGAGGATGGAATCAACGTTTTTGATACGGTGCGCTTCGTCAATCACGATGTATTCGAAAGAGAATTTCTTGAGTGCCGACTTTTCGATGAGACATATTTCATATGAGGTAATGCAGACATCGAAATCCTGAGGGATGAGCCGATTGGCGATAATTTCTGCGCGTTCTTCCTTTGAGCCGGTCAGAACGACGACATTCACATCTGGTGTCCATTGTGCGAATTCGCGAGCCCAGTTTTGAAGGGTGGATTTGGGGACAACAATCAGATGGGGACCAAGAGTATCGCGATAATGTTTCAAGTAGGAAAGGAAAGAGATGGTCTGCAATGTTTTACCGAGACCCTGTATAATTTAGTGAGTATTAAAGTGAAACATTAGAAGTTGAGATACCACACACCATCTCGTCGGCGAGGATGCCGTTCAACCCATTGTGGTGCAATGAGACCATCCAATTCAGTCCTTGAAGTTGATATGTCCTCATCTGACCGTTGATGTCTAAAATTATGGTTTAGCGTGGCTAGTCGTGAAACTGGACGACACGTACAGCTCGGTGATTCTTCAAAGACATAGGGTTGGTCGTCTCCATCTGCAGCGAATCCCCCATCTTTCAACAACTCTTCATCTTCTTCCTTCTCAGACTTGCGATGGCGTGCATTCTCGTCGCTTCTCAAAGAATTAGTTGATGGTTATACAGGAGAAACGCGAGTGACGCACACTCCCTTCTTTCTACCCCTACCCTTCGGCTTCGGCTGCGAGTCCAATAAAGCAGCATATTGCGGATCACGGGTTTTCTACAGGACGGTGAGCAGAATATGATGGGACTGGCGTGATATAACGCGCCTTAATATCGACAAAGTGCTTGAAAAGATCCGTCTGACCGAGAAGGTACGAGTATCGTTTGACAGCATCGGTAATCTAAAGCGGGATAAAAAAAAAGCTGGCTCCTAGTAGTCACGCGCACTCACCTTCGCTTTGTCCATTTCCTGTCGTTTGACATGGAGTTGACTCTCTTCAGCCTTGCGCTTTCGCTTCTTTTGCTGCCTCTCCACGGTTTGCTGAATTTTTGCCAACTTTGATGGAGATGAACTACCAGCGACGGGTCCCTAATCGAATACATGATAGGTTAGAACCGAGGTTGAACGTGAGGAGGCAATGTCATGAACACACCTCCTGTTCATCATCGCTGACAAGCTCATCTTCCTGAGCGCTCATTCCCTCGTCAATATACTCGCTCTCGCCGTCATCCGCTCCCTCGCTTTGCTAAGAATCAAACACAGTACTTCAATTTCATTCTGGTGTTACAATAGGGCATGCTGGCTGCTAACCTGACGCGACACGATGTTGCTGGGGACAAAGTCGCTTAAAACATCCTCATCTGGAGCAAAGAGGTCCTCGAGGGCGATCAGCTGGTGAAAAGATAATAGAAAACTCGACGTACGGCCATTTGTGTATTTGCTGTAGTGGTATGTGTAAAGACAAACTTGGAGCAGTTACTTAAGTAAGAACTTGAAGCTTGAAATGGCCAAGACGTGACACGATAACTCAATTTGTACTTCAGACCGTGTCTGCACTATAAATAAATACTTAATCCGAAAGTAAGGCAGTTTGCATCGTCTGAGCTACAGTACATACCACTACTAGTAATATACTTGGAACTTGTGACAAAATTGATGATTTTTACTACGAGATGACCCGAAGCAATTGATCCCACGATCATTTTCAATTTCTCACACAGGATCATTTTGCATCATCTGTCTGAGCTCGGTCTCTGGAACCCTCGCCTTGAATTCGATAAAGGATGGCTGATCCTCTCCCCTCATGTACGTCATGTCATCGAGTGGCTTCGTAGCACCCAAAGTCAGACGGAAGGCCCAAAGAACAAGGAGCGAGTTAATGAACACCGATCTGCAGCAATCAGGGTGAGCTTGGAACATTTGTGTAGAAGGAAATGTATACCTGTTTGCAACGTGTTGGCCGGGGCATACGCTAAATACGAGTCAGTCAGAAGTCGAGTGTCCAGAAGAACAGTTGTTTACCGACGACCAAACCCGAAGACGAAGAATTTAAGATCGTCCCTAAGGCAACCTTGGTCATTTGTCCAGCGCTCAGGCCTGAAAGCATGAGGTTCTGGGAAGATGTCTGGGTCTCGAGAGATGGACCTGATGCATTATCTGTCAGTCCCCTGTTACTTTTTGTCTTGAAGGACCGACCAATGATGACCGATTACCGTAGTCCCAGCTGGAATACAATAGTTTTTCTGATGGGCCCAGTTATTATTTTCACAATCAGTAGGTCAAAAAGTACTTGCCCAAACCACATCGTTGGTCGTTCGGTGAGGCAATCCTGCCGTGCGAAACTTGTAAACCTAAGTTTGTGACCGACAATGATGATACCCACCGCTGGGAACTAGCGGCCTCCATCTCAAAGCCTCGGAGATGAAGGCATGCAGACGAGGGAGGGACTGCTCGTCAGCGAAGGTCGGTACTGAGGTGGAGACATCGTTGAATCGATACACTTGCAATGGGAATCGACCTACCTCGATCCCTTCCTACAACTGCGTCCAGCTCCGCCTGGACTTTAGCTTGCTCATCAGGGAAACATGCAGCTGCCATGAGCACCGTGCATATCGCCAAAGTAGTCTGAGGACTTCAATCCGTATATTCGAAAATGACAATACAAAACACCTTACCGTATCAAATCCTGCTACATAGAAACTGCCAGCAAGAAAAGCCATCTCCGTCTCTGTCAAGCCATGGAGTTCAACATTTTCTAGCATATATTTCACAAACGAAGGGCCGACGTCCATATTGCTCTGCTGCGGAAGGATTTAAACACCGCGTGAAGATCGGCGAGACAATACGTACAATTTGGCGTTTCACGCGGTTCAGTAGATCGGTGTTGAGCTGCTTGCTCCTTTCAAACCCCCTTTTTAACTCTTGGGCATACCAAGGAAGGTATTTGAGCCACGGGATGATGTCAGCAAGATAAGCGCCAGGGCGCAGGGCTTTACGAAGTAACCGAAGGTTCTCGCGGAAAAATATGGTTTCAGGATCAGTAGCAGATGTAGGCGTGGTCTTGCCGTAGGCAACTTTCGTAATCGTTGTTGCAGCATAACTTGAAAACGTTCATGAGTAATACACTGATACAATAGGACAAGTGCTTACGTTGCCGCATGATTCTGGAAGTTAGCTGGATCTTCAAGAATGTCGATGACCATGTTCTTTGCGTGTGACATATGCAGGGGCTGATATTCCTCAGCTGATTTGGGCTGGAGATGCGTATGAAGTACTCTGTATCACATTAATAAGTCTGGGACATTGTTGCGGGAAACGAACGAACCTACGCCACATGTTCCCAGAATGTGTAAGGATGACGGACAGTCCACCATTGTGAATTTCTCCAGCAGCAACGAGGCGAGGACGGTCAGCTAGCGACGCGCCCTGCTTCTCCATGATATCCACGACGGCCTGCGATACACTGAGCTTGGACATCACAAGTCGGCTTGGAGGGACTTACTTCGTGGCGGCCGATAATAACGATTTTCTCAGTTCCTGAACGAATGGTAATTACAGGTCCGTGCTCGTCAATCCATTCCGTTACAGTGAGAAATGGGCTGAATGGCGATGGCACACAATGAACATCAAAGCAATGAGTGAAAGGTGAAACTTTACTTGCGAAGGGGTATGAAGTGCCCCCGAAGTCTCCGAGTGAGAGGGGAGGGTGGAAGAGGGAAGCCACTCTCTGATTTTGGGAGGTAAGCCCGAGAAATCACTCCTACTAGTAATAGTATCTCTTACAACTTAGTATATGGTCATGCCACGCAGATGTTTGAAGTATATGAGGTAGTAGCAGCTGCTGCTCGGCTGAGGTGTCCATGACACAGAGCATACAACGATAGACAGGCACTTGTTGCCATGTGAGAATTGTATGAACCACGAAGTCTATGAGAGGGGAGACGAAAAGAATAAGTTTAAGAAATGTTCGGCGAAACGTCGGGGAAGTAAGGAAGCTGGTGGAGTTGCATTTCAAGGAGAGGAACGCCAGAAGTATGCAGCATACTACGATGCGCTTAGCAAAGAAGTGTAGAGCCGGCAATGAGACCCACCACATACCGCACCTCAGGCCCTGTGACTGTGCAGAATATCGCGACAAAAAGCGTACCAGTTACGTCCTAAGACGACCGTGACCGGCAAGGTATCGCGAAGCACGAACGGAAAATCGATGGAGAACCGAACATCACCGAATTGGCGACTTCAGTGAATCCAATCTTTAACCACTGTCGACAACATGGTATGTTTGCGACATTCAAGTTGAATTCATGCCTTTACTTCCTGTGGAGCAACAGAGAAACTGCTCACGACAGGTAAATGCATGCCCGCAAATGAAGAATTCAGATTCACATTACCTCGAGGAACCTAGTCGGGTGGTAGCATCAACGGTACAACGGGCCAGCTTCTCCAACACCTCTGTCATCATCGGTCGTTTTTTCGGGTCTTCGTCCATAAGTTGCCACGAAATTTCGAGGAGGGTATCGCGATCCGTGGATGGGCGACACTTGTCGCACAGCGCCTCTAATGTCTTTCCACAGGACCACAAGTCCGCACGGATCGCACTGTAGAAGCCATTACCAGCGGCTACCTCGGGGGCGATATATTCGGGAGTGCCCACGACGCCACGGAACCTATGTTCGACACCCTTGACTCGCAAGGACCTGTTAAAATCGATGACAGTCAGACAGCCGCCGTTGACGGGGATCAAGATGTTGTTCGGCTTCAGATCCATGTGCGCCACGCCGTGTTGGTGCATGAAGTCGACCGCTTCGAACAGCTGTTTAGCGACAGACCACAGGTGTGCACTGGGTCTTGTTAACGACGTGAGCCAGCCGCCAGCCACCGGCATCGATATGACGTTGCCGCCGCGCACAGGCCAGATTCGTACTCCAGAGATGGTATGATTTGCAGGGGAATCGATTCCTGTGAGGTATTGCAAGATTTCAATTTCCTTCCCCCCTTCTTTCACGAACTTCAGGTATCCCTTCTCGGACTCGTGAGTACTAGTAGTGTTCGACACGCAAGCTATCAGTGGATACTACAGGAAGTTTCTAACGCGTCAGTATCACATTCCCAGACGTTATGATGACACGTACCCCAGCAGGGATTAAGTTGATCTTGTAATTCATCTTCTTCAGAATAGCTTGGATACCATCCGTACCAAAGACGCCGAGATCATCTTGAGGCTCCTCGTCAGCATCACCCACTACTGGGAATGGGTGAGCTAATCGATGATCAACAGATATGCTGATGTAACTTGCCCTCCTGAGGCTTGATCACGATGTAGACATAACTATCTGATAGGGATTGTGCCAGAATCCGCAAGGACTGCACAGGGTGCACCTTTTGCCAATTGCTCTCATCCAGGCACTCTAGAATGATGTCGGCAGGGCTTCGGTCATCAGGAAGGTGCACGGGATTTTTGAGCTGGTAGTAGTCGCATTGATCAAATGAGATTCTACCCAAAATACGACGTGCATCAGCCGATTCGGATTTGAGGTACGCAAAGGTATCCTTGATCCGAGCGTTATCGGAAGTTGTAACATGGTACAACTCGGTGTCGAGGACGACGAGGAATGTGTGGACCATCGCCGGACTCAACTGTGGGAGACGCGATGAGTCAATTAGATGTAGATATATCAATATGCGAGCACGAACTTGTTTAGATTCGCGACAGGTAAGGAACGATGACTGCGTAGCTGCAGAGCGAGACACAGGAGATCAAAGGGCAGTTGAACTATAGGTGTGGCGGACCTAGCTGAGTCACACAATCTTTGGTAAGCGACCACCCAAAAAAGGAAGCCGAAGATGCACTTCGTGACCATGAATTTCTGAGTCTTCCTGTTTGGAAAATTGAGCGGGTATCGAATGAGGGCACGAAACGGATTAGACGAGTGCCATAAGGAGTGTATGTAACTCAGTCTCGTGAGTCGAAGACTACGAGACACTGACTGACCGTGACCTACTCGTGCAATAGCATAGCGATTAAACACGTCAAGGCTACATGGTAAGAACTTGATAATACACGCAAACTTCACGGACGCGACCTCACCCAACCCTCCCAAAAACCCTCCCAATCTCCCAATCTCCCTCTCAACCCTCCCAACACCAACACCAACACCAACACCCCGATTCCCAGGCTTCTCGAAAGTCCGTTCCGTCCGTCCATCATGCATCATGCATCAGGCCTCAGGTCCGACCGACAAATAGCACCTATTGATTCAACGCTTGGCGTTACCTACTATACTAATGAGCCCCAATGGTAACAGCGTCCACAAGCCTTAGGTTTAGCTTACCCCAATCATCCAGCACCTCCCTCAGCGAATTTACGACGATGGTCGCCATAGATGCCAGTACGTGCTGAATATTGTTGAACCGACTATATGATGCTGACCTTGCAAAGATAATTACCACTACCAAAACGACACCCTAAGGAGGATAGACGTCAGAATAGGTGCCCTGACATCTCAAGTTTCGGCCCAGGGGGCCTCATCATGTGCCAGAATAGATGCCCTAGCATCTGGAGTCTCCGACCTTTCAGCGAAAGTCATGGCGCAAGGGGCCTCAATAGATGCCATCTATAGCTTAGATGAATCTGAAGTAGACAATGTCGCGACCTGTCCTCAGCGAAATTGGCCAGCCGAGTTCAAAAGAGGCGAGTCTCAGAGTGATTGGACTTGTATCATACTACTCAGTCAGCACACGAAGGCAAGATGTAGAACCGAGTGTATTTCATATGGTAATGCGAACAATGTTGAAACCACTGAAGACGGCACGAGGCCGATGACCGAATGATTCTATAGAACTCGTCCGATTGAGCCGATAATGGGGGAGGATGATCTTGGCCGGACAGAGAAATGAGAACCTTGAAAAGCGAGGATGCAACCTACTATATGCTAAGTGCTTATTCAGTGAAGGCAATTGACAAATGTTCAGGAAACTGTGACCGCTGCCGGACTGCCGAGAGATATCAAACTATGCACTATGGGAGAGATATACTCACTATATCATTGGCACCGGATGGACAGGCCAGTAGATCCACCCCACGATGCCTTGAAGGTGATGAGAACATATTAATGACATTTTGGCCGAGGACATGTCTTCCTCGACGAGGAAGAGATGTAATGTACAGGGAATCACCAGATAGATGGGTGGTGCAGCCAGCCACTTACCACATCGACGCGTCATCAATTCATCCTCGAACAAGGTTAACTAGCTGAGTTCTGTCAGGATGATTATGATCGAGAGTATTACATAATTAGGGACGTTTGTGAGAACGTGACATGAGAAGCCGAAGAGTGCAACTTGATTTTCGGTATTTGCCGAGGGGCGAGCAGAACTTCTTAACCTTCAAGCCTATAATACCTAATCCGAAAGTAAGGCAGTTTGCATGGTCCAAGCTACAGTACCACATCTAGTAGAATACTTGGAACTTGCATGATTTTTACTACGAGATAACCCGAAGCAATTGATCCCACGATCATCTTCGATTTCTCACAAAGGATCATTTTGCATCATCCGTCTGAGCTCGGTCTCTGGAACCCTCGCCTTGAATTCAATAAAGGATGGCTGATCCTCTCCCCTCATGTACGCCATGTCATCTAGCGGCTTCGTAGCATCCAAAGTCAGACGGAAGGCCCAAAGAATAAGAAGCGAGTTAATGAACACCGATCTGCAGCAATCAGGGTGAACTTGGAAGGTCATGTGCATTTGTGTAGAAGGAAACGTCTACCTGTTTGCAACGTGTTGGCCGGGGCATACGCTAAATACGAGTCAGTCAAAAGTCGAGTGTCCAGAAGAACAGTTGTTTACCGACGACCAAACCCGAAGACGAAGAATTTAAGATCGTCCCTAAGGCAACCTTGGTCATTTGTCCAGCGCTCAGGCCTGAAAGCATGAGGTTCTGGGAAGATGTCTGGGTCTCGAGAGATGGACCTGATGCATTATTTGTCAGTCCCGTGTTACTTTTTATTTTGAAGGACTTACCAATGATGACCGATTACCGTAGTCCCAGCAGGAATGCAGTAGTTTTTCTGATAGACTAGGTTGTCATCCTCACAATTAGTAGATCAGAAAGTACCTGCCCAAACCACATCGTTGGTCGTTCGATGAGCCATTCCTGCCGTACGAAACTTGTAAACCTAAGTTTGTGACCGACAATGATGATACCCACCGCTGGGAACTAGCGGCCTCCATCTCAAAGCCTCGGAGATGAAGGCATGCAGACGAGGGAGGGACTGCTCGTCAGCGAAGGTCGGTACTGCGGTGGAGACATCCTTGAATCGATACACTTGCAATAGGAATCGACCCACCTCGATCCCTTCCTACAACCGCGTCCAGCTCGGCCTGGACTTTAGCTTGCTCATCAGGGAAACATGCAGCTGCCATAAGCACCGTGCATATCGCCAGAGTAGTCTAGGGACTTCATTTCATATGTTAAAAAACAACAATACAAGACACCTTACCGTATCAAATCCTGCTGCATAGAAACTGCCAGCAAGAAAAGCCATCTCCGTCTCTGTCAAGCCATGGACTTGAATATTTTCTAGCATATATTTCACAAACGAAGGGCCGACATCCACATTGCTCTGCTGAGGAAGGATTTAAACACCGCGTGAAGATTAGCGAGACAGTGCGTACAATTTGGCGTTTCACGCGGTTCAGTTGATCGGTGTTGAGCTGCTTGTTCCTTTCAAACCCACATTTTAACTCTTGGGCATACCAAGGAAGGTATTTGAGCCACGGGATGATGTCAACAAGATAAGCGCCAGGGCGCAGGGTTTTACGAAGTAGTTGAAAGTTCTCGCGGACAAGTCTGGCTTCAGGATCATTAGCAGATGAAGGTGTGGTCTTGCCGTACGCGACTTTTGTGATAGTTGTTGCAGCATAACTTGAAAACACTCATGAGCAACACACTGATGCAATAGGACAGCGCTTACGTTGCCGCATGGTTCTGGAAGTTGACTGGATCCTCAAGAATGTTGATGACCATGTTCTTTGCGTGTGACATATGCAGGGGCTGATATTCCTCAGCTGACTTAGGCTGGAGATGCGTATGAAGCGCTCTGTATCACATTGATAAGTCTGGGGCAGTGTCACGGGAAACGAACGAACCTACGCATCCGACGCCACATGTTCCCAGAAGGTGTAAGGATGACGGACAGTCCACCGTTAAGAATTTCTCCAGCAGCAACGAGGCGAGGACGGTCAGCTAGCGACGCGCCCTGCTTCTCCATGATATCCACGACGGTCTGCAATATACTGAGCCTGGACATGACAAGTCAGCTTGGAGGAACTTACGTCGTGGCGGCCGATAATCACGATCCTCTTAGTTCCTGAGCGAATGGTAATCAGAGGTCCGTGCTCGTCAATCCATCCTGCTACAGTGAGAAATGGGCTGAATGGCGATGACACACAATGAACATCAAAGCAATGAGTGAAATGTGAAACTTTACTTGCGAGGGGGTATGAAGTGCCCCCGAAGTCTCCGAGTGAGAGGGGAGGGTGGAAGAGGGAGGCCGCTCTCTGATTTTGGGAGGTAAGCTCGAGAAATCACTCCTACTAGTATCCCAAGACAAGTCGCAGTAGTGAGGACGAGTTGTGTGCTATTAAAAACGCGTAGGTCAGGCAGTTGTAGCATGATTGAAACGCAAGGACGGGAGAGAAGCGGTGGCAATTTCAGTCTTCAAATACCACGCGTGCAGCTATTGATATATTGATACCTGATGTCTTCTGAATGTCAGATTCAGCAGGTGACCGCCGATGAGAACGGAAAAGTGTCTCTCACGTCGATAACCTGAGTTGATAAGGCAATGCCAGCATCCGCGCCGTACGGTGATAACACTGGGCTGTATATATAGTCAAAAACCTTGTGGACGACGCTGGACGGCCATTGCTGTAGCAGGTGCCAAATGTCGCAGACGCAACAGAAAATATTGGGTATGTCACGGTGACAGCAACATTCAAATACGACTGTTGTCGGGCATGTGTTGGGAGCAGTTCATTGTCTTGCATGGCGGAGCGACGTAGTATCTCTTACTACAACTTAGTATATGGTCATGCCACGCAGGCGTTTGAAGTACATGAGCGCCGACTACGTAGCAGCAGCAGCTGCGCGGTTGAGGCGCCCAAGATACAGAGCATATAACGACAGTCGGACGAGCACTTGTTGAATGCGGGAATTATGTGAACTACGAAGTCTGTCACGGTGAGAGGGGGAGTGAAAAGAAAACCGAGTTGAAGAATGTTCAGCGAAACGTCGGGGAAGCAAGGAAGCTGGTGGAGTTGCATTTCGAGAGGAACGCTAGTAGGAACATGCAGCATACTACGATGCGCTACAAACAAGTGGTGACTCAGATCGATTGCATAACTACAAATGATATCATGCAAGGCGGACGTCTACGCACGAATGACTAGATAAACATCGAAGCTTGCAGCAGTAAGGTAGACTCAAGCGTTGTTAACGTTTGTGTAGTAAGAATTGCCTCGGAATCAATATTGGATTGCGTAAGCTGCAGGAGCTTACTTAGAAATTTCGCCACGACTGAGTATAGCACGACAATCTAGACAGAAGACTCACAGTATCTGGGTACCCGGCGCCGCGAACATGCAAGTGGTATTTTGTTTGGTTTGTTCGATTGTGACTAACTTGCTGAACTGCAGGGCCTCTGTTACCGTGCAGTCTAATGAGATTGCTAAAGCCAGCTTACATGTCGCCCTTCCATGGTACACCCATTTGTACACCATTCCATTCCTCTCGCTCTATCCACTTCTCGCGTATGCGTATTATATCAAGTATGATGACTGGTTACGAAGCGAGGAGTGGACTTTTTTGGCTTGTGTATCTCTGGGCGCAGGTCATGCTTTAAGTTTCCTGGTCACTCGATGGAGTGCTGGCGCGAAAGCATGGATAACAACACGAAAGGTGTGCAGTTATGTTTAAAAATGTAGATAATATCCTCATATACTCTAAAGGCGCGGTCTATCGAGGATGCAGACTGTATACGCTTGGTTCCTCACGTCCATCGTGGTCAAGGCGAGATTGTTCCATTGCTCAAGAGTGTTCCATCGGAGCCAATGTCCTACACGTTCAACTACCAGCGAGATACTTACGTTGTAGCCGGCAAGAATCCCATCGTGTTCACCCGCCTCCCGTACCCATCTACCCTGCGTCCATCCTTGTCTTCCTTTTTACAACCCACTGGCCTCAATCTGGATGCAATTTCACCCTTGAAGTCACTATATGGCAAAAATGAATTCAACATTCCGATCCCCTCTTTCTCGGAGCTTTTCGCTGAACATGCGACGGCTCCCTTCTTCGTTTTCCAAATATTTTGTGTCGCGCTCTGGTGCTTGGATGAGTATTGGTACTACAGCTTATTCACGCTATTCATGCTCGTCATGTTCGAGTGCACCGTTGTGTGGCAGGCGCGTTTTTTCTTTCTTCCCGTTAGCAACTCCCAAGCTAACTTCCCTTGTAGCGTGTGAAAACTCTGACAGAATTCCGTACGATGGCTGTCGCTCCGTATCCCATTCAATGCTACAGGCATTCACAATGGATCACAGTCCAGTCTGACGAGCTTCTCCCCGGAGACCTTGTTTCTGTTGGTTAGTGTCGTCTGTCTAATGGCGATATTAATTCATTAACGTATCATCACAGCACGACAGCAGTCTGAAACGGTAGTTCCTGCAGATATCCTTCTCATTCAAGGCACATGCATCGTCAATGAAGCCATGTTGTCGGGAGAATCTACACCGCTACTCAAGGAATCTATCCAGCTTCTCGATAGCGGAGACAAACTTGACGTCGACGGCGCGCACAAGAACACGGTTCTGTTCAGTGGAACAAAGGTGCTCCAAGCAAGCTCAACGGGTACGTCGAACACTTACATTTTCCTTC